CGCTCTCACCGGCACCTGGCGCTCTCAGGAGGTATGTGGATGGCTGTACCGGGTCCGTGCCCAAGCTGGTTCAGCTGACGGCGGCGGTTCCGGTGGCGGCATCAGCGGCGTGCGAGCTGCTGCTTGGCAGCCTGGTCGAGGCCTGCCAACAGGTGCGTGCACGCCACACATTCTGTGTGGGGCACTCTAGAGATCTGCCTCGTCCAGTGCTCTTCCCATCCTGCTCCTTTCTATGGCAGTACGAGGCAGCTGCACCACGCTTCTTTGAGGTCCCAAACCCTGCCCCTTGCTCTTTCCTGGCTGCAGGCTGTGGCCAGCGGCGGCGGCGATGCCTCAGAGCTGGAGCACCTGGAGCGCCAGCTGCGGCATGCCGCCGACAGGCGGATGCGCATGGGCGGCCTGTTTGGCAGTGCGAAAGGTGGGCGGGGCGGGGTGGGTTGGACGCGCGGTTGGGCATGCGCAGTGCACTGCAGTGGGAGCTGGCGATGCGCCAGGAGACACGCTACGCCCAGCGGCACTCCAGCCCTGCCACGTTGCCGCCCCGCCGCCCCATTCGCTGCCATTGAGCTGGCGCGCCCGCTTTTGCCTCCCCCTCCCCCTCCTCGCCTGGCTGTGCAGCGACCGCTCTGCTGCACGCATCCGGCCGCCAGCTGGGCTCCCGCCGCACACGGGAGGCCCGCCAGCTGGACTCCCACCGCACACGGGAGGCCCGCCAGCTGGCAGAGCGAATCAAGGGCTTGCTCCAGGCCGAGAACACCAGGTGAGAGCTACCCCGCATGGGTCGCAGCGGCCGGTTTCATCTGCTGCCAGCAGCAGCCGTGCTCAGCGACACTGCCTTGTGCAAACCTTCCCCACATGAGCTCTTTCATGTGCTGAGGCATGACCATTACCTCATGGGACGTGCCCACACGGGACAGCCAAGCTGGCCCTCAAGTCACTCACCACCCATCCGCCTGCCCGTCTGCCGCAGCGTGGTGGAGGTGTTCGGGCTGAAGGATGGCACAAAACTGGCCGAGTACGTGGAGGGTCGTCTTGCCATTCTGCTGGAGGCTCTTCCTTCCTGCATGGAGCATGCCGAGGCGGCGCAGGAGCTGGGCCTGCTGCCACGCAACCTTGACACAATCGAGGTGGGTGGCAGCCGCCGCTGTGCAGGGCCTTGCTGGTTGATATGTTGGCATCTACCCGGCCTGGAAAGCAGAGTGCGACCAGCGCCTGGAGTGATCATCGCTACGCACGCCACAATTATCACCGCCCCAGCCCTGCGCCCTGCCCCCACGATGCTTGCACACAGGCGCTGCGCGGCATTGTGCCGGACACCTTCATCAGCGCCGTGCGCAGTAGCATCACCAGCCTGCTCTTCCTGTGCCGCACGCTGCGGCAGTACCACGTGAGACTGCTTCATGCATCGCTCAACTTGCGTACTGGGCATTGAAGCCCTCCCAGCTGCACTCAGTTTGGGGTGCCTGCCGTTGCTGCAGGCTGCTGCCGCCAGGCTTGGCCTGGACCGGGCACCCCTGCTGGTGGCAGCAGAGGCGCTGGAGCAGCTGTACGAGTTCATGCTGAAGGTGGATGCTGGTGGAACCGACGAGCAGATGGCGGATGAGGTGGACCAGATGCCACTCTCCCACATAAAGGTGTGTGACAGCAGGGGCAGGGCACGGCCCAAGGTTCACCATCCGGCAGCAGGCGCAGCCCCCGCAAAATGGGGAAGCATAGTCAGCATGAAGCAGCACCCCTCACGTCACGTGCTGACCTACCTGCCTGCGCCCTCGCACTCGCTGCCGCTGCTCCCCCTGGCCTTGGCCTGCTGAACTGCAGATTCTGGCTCTCAAGGTCAAGGAGAACCAAGAGGCCTGCAATCAGCTGGCCGCTGGCATTGATGAGCTGGGGAAGTGGATGAAGCGGCTGGATACGCACGGTACGGCCAAGCCTGAGGAACCGAAGGCGGCCAAGTTACAGGAGCTGACGCAGGTGGGCGGTCACGCTGGGCTGTGTGGTGGGTGGCATCCTGTGCATAAGCATGAGTGTGTGTGAAGCGCTGGCGGGCCAGGGAGGGTCGCCGCGTGGGTCAAGCCTTCAACCTGCTGCGGTACGCACTGAGCTGCGCTGGACTGTCTCTGCCACTGCCCGCAGACGTTGGACAAGCTGCTTCCAGACCTGAAGAGGCAGCTGGCTGTGGCATCCAGCGCCAACATGGGCGTGATCGATGGCTTGACCGCCAAGGTGGAGGTGCTGGGCGGTCGCCCGAAGCGGCTGCATGGGCAGGTGGCCCGGGCCGCCATCCAGGCGCTGTGGGAGGTGGACCTGCTCACCAACGCCTCCCTGGAGGTGGCGCAGGAGCTTCTGGACATGGTGGGTGGGCTGTGTGCGCCTCCCTTAAGGAGCTTCCTGCCTGCTTGAGTGCAGGGCGGCACATGCGTATGCAAGGCGCAAGGGCGGGAGCAGCATGTGCTGCACTGCTGGGGCTGCACCCACAATGACAGCATGTTGTGCCGAGTTGTGCGTGCCATGCAGGTGGATCAGGAGGGCAGGCGCCGCTCCACGGCGCTCGAGGCGGAGGCCGTGCCGCCTGCTACCAGCCCGACAGCAGCAGTGCCGGAGGCCAGCAACGGCAGCCTGGCTTCCCGCTGTGTTGGCGCTGTTCAGCAGCAGGCAGCTGCGGCCGCTGCCCCGCCTGCACTGGCTGCTGCTGCCAGTGACGCCGCGCCGCGGGGCCCAGGCGCCAGCCAGCTGGGCGACCGTGCACCCAGCGTGCATCCTGGCGAGGGGTGGGCACGCCTCGGCCGGACCTGAGGTGGCACGGGTGCCTGCGTGTGTGGGAAGCCGAGGTGCTTTGGCCGCACCAGCCCTCCGCATGCAGGCCAAGCGCAGCCGCTGCTGCCATCCCGCACCCCCGCACGCAAAGCGGCGCAAGTCAGCCCCCCAGGTCGCGAGGCACGGGCCACACTGCTGGCGCCGGCCGCCAGAGTCACGCGCCCCTCGCCATAGCGCGCGCTCCAGCTTGCAGCGCGACACGGCAGCCGGCAAGGCCGGCGGCACCGGGAGGTATCGTGAGGACCAGCCGAAGTGGCAGCAGGGCGATGCATGCCATTGGGCAAGACGGGGTTGGGCTGCCCCTGCTGCTCTTGTGACACTGCAGCCACCTGCCGTGAGAACTGGAATGTTCCTTGCGCTGGAAACAAGCTGTAAAGCCGTTTGATTCCATTCCCAGCATCACAGTGTCGATGCTGCACCCAGCCCATCTCACTTGCTTTCTGGCTTTCTCAGCCCTGGGCATGCAAGCAGCAGTAGATTGGGCAGCTTCAATGGTGACAGCTGCTGTGCAGACTGCCGTGCCCGCTCATCTCCCTCCTCACCAGTACCGATGCCGATGCACAGCAGCCCACGCCCGAATGCATTGATTGATGCCCCTTGATTACGTGTGTTCCTTGCCCAAGGTCTGCTCATGCGGCCCATCATAGCGGGGTGACTGGAACACAAGACGGCGTTGGCAGCAGCGCCGCAGCCGCATGGCACACGGGCTGGAGTTGTGGTGCGGCTCAGGCTGCGGCCTGCAGGCATTTACCTTCCAGCGCAGCAGCGGAACGGGCGACACGCACAGGCAGTGTATGCGGTGTCAGGCGGGGTCTGTGCCTGCAGCTACTTGCGGGGCGTGGGTCACCTCGGTGGCGACGGCGGGAATGCATCAAATGGCAGGCGGCGGGCTGCCTCGAGGTTCCAGGCACCACAGCAGGCCTAGGCCATCTGGAAGTTACTCTCAAATCTTGATGGAACCGTGCTACTGCTGTAACAAAGCTCGGCACAGTGAAGGCGACAGGAGGAGGGGGCATGTTTGGCTGAGGCGGCGGCCAGAGGCAAGGCGCGGCGGGCGGTTGCGGGCGGCAAGGCCATGTGGGCTGCTGCGGCCGCAGCTAGCATCGCCTTGCCTGCTGGTCTCCCGCATCCTTGGATCGAACGCCAGGGCACTCCCCGCCCATGCAGCGCCCTGTCAGCTCAGGACCACGTTTGAAAACACCTTCACCGTGCTCTCTACACCTTTTGCTCCCTCTCTTGCTCCCTGTGCTATCCAGTGGAGCCCCCAATCGCACAGACCGTGAGCCAGCAGCCCTCCGACGCACCTCACTTCCTCCTCCTCGGCCCTCACTTCCCCCCTCCTCGGCTCGCCCTGCTGCCCTGCTGCCCTCCCAGAACCAGCTCCTCACTGCCTGCGCCTGGCAGCGCTGCTACCAACCGTGGGGCGGATAGTTCAGCCAACCGTTTGGACAGATGACCGACGTTGCGGCAGGTGAGGCTGGGCTGGGCTGTGTTGGAGCAGGCAAGCAGCCTGCGTGGCCCTGCGCCCTGTGGCATAAGTGGGCGGAGCGGGCCCGCCGGTCGGCGGACAGCGGCGGCGGCGGCGCTGGGGAGGATGGTGCGTGGCGACGCAATCTCGTCAAGCTCAGCATTCGTAAAACGTAAAATGCACACTGCTTTTTACATGCTGTATGATGACTGCATGATCAAGCCGCCACCTTCGGCCTGCAGAGCTGATTCTGTCGGGGAGCAACGGCGCGGAGCAGGTGAGGCTGTCACCCTCGGCCTGCGTTGAGATTCCATGATGATCTCTGGTGCATCCTAACACACGTGTGGCCCCCCTTGTCATGCAGGAGCTGAGAATTTTGAGGCGAATCATTCGGGATTTGCTGGTGGCCACATCGCCCTTGTGACCCTCTGAGTAAGGCAGCTCCAGAGACGTCAGTTTGGTCAAATGCGCCAGTGCACCAAGTGCAACTGCAGCCCTGCTAGCAACGCATGGGCTGACGTGCAGCGAAGCCACCATGCTGGCTGGCAGGCCGCTGAGGCACGCGCTCAAGTCCTGCTGGCTGGGATGTAAGGTGGGAAACCAGCGGCCAGCTTGGGTGCGTGGCAGATCCAGCGTAACGTTCGCAAGAGCTACGGCAAAGATGTTTGCAGCTGGAAACTGCTTAGTAGGTGTAAGGGGGGGGCAGCGCCTCGGTGCGTCACTGCCCGCCACACTCACCCTGACGCGTGTGCAGCCAGGCCGCCAGCTCATCGGCACCCCTCGCTGTGGGCGCCACCACCACAGCAGCCTCCGGGAACCATGCCAGGACTGCCTGCCGCATGGCGGTGCAGGTGGCAGCCAGGTTTAGCCTGAACAGGGGGAGCATGAGACTCCCTGCTCAATGATTGGGTACAGCCTTCTCAGCAGCACTGCCGGAATGAGCAGCAAACACTGCCGGCAGAAACAGCATGCAAACTGCAGCAGCGGTTGCCCATCTTCCAGCAGCTCTTCATGAACACCCGACCCAACAACAACACCTCCACAGCTCACTTGTCGCGCAGCGTGAGGTGGCCGAAGATCAGCTGCTGCAGCGGTCCGGGCACGCTGATGATTTCCAGCGCCAGAGCCGCGGCAGCTGCCGCCAAAGCCTCAGGCGTGGCTGCAAGCAGGGCGGTTCGGCAGGGGGCATTCTAGCAGAGATAGGCAAAAGGATGGTAGGAGCGGGTGGTTTGTGGGGAGTGGCATGTGGAGGTCTGGGCAGGGTTTCAGGGTTGAGACAGCAGGAGCTGCTGTCAAGCATCATGCAGGTTTCCCAGACCCTTCCGCACCAGCACATGCTTCGGGGGTTGGGGAGTTGGAGGTGCCTGTGTAAAACAGCTCCTCACCGCCGCTGCTGGTGCCAGTGCTGTTGGCCAAGCTTGCCAGCGTCTGCCCCACCACAACTGCCGAAGCGGGGGCGTCGGCGGCAGCCGGGAGTGGAAAATCCTCGCCACCGCCGCTGCTGCTGCTCGAGGCATCTGGCTGGCCCACCGCTTCAGCCGCCACAGCGGGAGTGCTCATATCAGCGGCAAGGTGGCGCAGCTCCTCACTACTGCTGGCGCTGCCTGCCGCTGCGGGCAAGGCAAACAGGGGATGCTCCTCACTGCTGCTGCCGCCGTCGCTGCTGCCGCCTGCCTGCAGGATGACGGTGGCGGCGGCTCGCGCGCGCGCCCCCTCGCTGCTGCTGGCTCTACTGGGCCTGTCTGCAGCACCAGCACACATGGCCAGCAAGCGATGCAGCAGGATGTGATGTGCTGGTTCAGGCGAGACAGGCTGGAAGGCGAGACAGCCGGCGATGCTGAGCGTGACGTTGGATGCCGATGGCGGGACGGTCGGCGGCCGCGGCGTACTGCCATGCCTGCTCGCCTTCACGGCCGCTCTCTTTCACATGGGCTGGGCAACAGGGCGACATCAAGGCAGCCCAGCCTCAGCACCTCACATAACCGATGCATGTCGCCCCCAAGACTGCGCGCTGCATTGCTGGAAACGCAGCAGTTGCCCAACCAGCCCGTTGCCGCCTGCCCGTCTCCTGCCATGCCCATCGCCGCCGATAACACATGCAGCCTGGCGCATGAGTGGTGGAACCGTTCACGACGAATGGCGAAGCCGCATGGTTTCACAGGCAACAGTACCCAGCCTGCCCTTCCCGCCGCTCTCTGGGACCGCCAGTGCTCGGCAGCGCGGCAGCGCAGCCACCCCTGGGGGCACGCCGTCGGGCAGCGGCACACGCCACAAGCCCAGCTGGCGCAGGCGGGTGAGCGGGCGCAGGTGCTGCCAGCCGCCCGCCAGATTGCTGTTCCCTGCCAAATCGAGGCACGTCAGGGCTGCCAGCGCCGAGAGCTGCTCTGGCAAAGATGCCAGCCCGCAGTAGGAAAGGTTTATGTGTTGTAGCTGCTGCAGGGCAGCCAGCGGCGCCAGCGCCGACGGATTCTGCCCTCTGGCAGCGACGCCCATAAGTCGATTTCCCTCCAGACTCAGCTGCGTCAGCTGCGTCAGCGCTGCCAGCTGCTGCGGCACCCCCGCCAGCCCACACCAGCTGAGGTTCAGGTGTTGCAGCTGCCGCAGGGCAGACAGCGGCGCCAGCTCCCAAAGGTTGCCATAGTTGAATAATCCGGAAGACAAGTGCAGGCGGGTCAGCGCCGTGAGCTGCACCAGCGCGGCTGGCAGCCGGCGCAGGTGGCAGTGGCTGAGCTCCAGCTCTCTCAGCGCAGTCAGGCTGCCCAGCTGCTCCCATTGCACACGAGTGAAGTCAAGCAGCAGGCCCACATGGCAGCACAGGCCCGTGAGTGCCGTCAGCGCCGGCAGCGCCGCCGCCACGTCGGCGCTGTACGCGGCGTTGACCAGCCTCAGCTGCTCCAGTTTTGTCAGCGTTTGCAAATGGCGGCTGCGTATCGGGTCCATTGGAAGCAAGTAGTTGCAGGCTTCGATGTTTAAGCAGCGGAGATTGCTGAGGGCGGCCAGCGCGTTTGGCAGGTCTCTGTATGGATCAGTGGTTGATGTGGGTCTATCGATGAACACAGAGAGATGGTGCAGCCGGGTCAGGGCAGCCAGGCCGCTCCAGCTGCCGGCGCAGCTGGCGCAGCTCAGCTGCAGGCGCTGCAGCGCTGTGAGCCTCCACAGGCTGGCCAAGCTGCCGATGGATAGCCTGACATCGAGGGAAGCCACCAAGGCGCGCGGCAGGCTGCTGAGGCAGGCAGTCAGGTCCTTCTGGCCGCCGCAAACATGGGAATGGGCAGCTGGGGTGCGTGGCAGATCCAGCGTGACGTGTGCACGAGCTGCGGCAGAGGAGGCTGCGATGGGGAACTGTAAGTAGAGGCGGCGCAGGGGGGAGCAGCGTCTCGGTGCATCACTGCCCACCAGGCTCACCCTGATGCGTGTGCAGCCAGGCCACCAGCTCCTCGGCACCCCTCGCCGTGGGCGTCACCACCACAGCAGCCTCCGGGAACCATGCCAGGACTGCCTGCTGCAGGGCGGTGCAGGTGGCTCCCAGGTTCAGCCTGAACAAGGGAGCAAGTAACTGTCCATCTCAGTGATGGAATGAGCAGCAAACACTGCCGGCAGAAACAGCATGCAAACCGCAGCAGCGGCTGCCCATCTTCCAGCAGCTCATCATGCACAGCAGACGCCACAACGCAACCTCCCCCGCTCACTTGTCGCACAGCGTGAGGTGGCCGAAGATCAGCTGCTGCAGCGCTCCGGGCACGCTGATGACGTCCAGCGCCAGAGCCGCAGCCTCAGGCGTGGCTGCAAGCAGGGCGGTCCAGCAGGTGATATGCACGATAGGAGTGAGTGGCTGTGGGGAGGGACGTGTGGAGGCCCCGGGCAAAGTCGGCAGGGTTGGGTCGGCAGGAACTGCCAGTGCCAGTGGCAGTGCCTTTGGGCACACATAGGCAGCAATTGAGCGTTAAGTTGTTCACTGCTACGGCTGGAGCTGCACGTCTGTGCTGCTGAGGCTGCCATAGCAGGCAGGGAGGCGTTAAAATTTAAGAAACTTACCGCTGCTGCTGCCGCCGCCGCCACCGCCGCCTGCCTGCAGGGCGGCGGTGGCGGCGCCAGGCGCGGGCGGCCCCTCGTCGCTGCTGGCTCCGACTGGGCCTGCCTGCGACACCCACAATGCATCGGGTATCATCTCAGTGCGCGTCCCGGTGCCCCAATTGGTGGCGGGTGCCCAACCTCGAGGGTTGGTGCGGCCAAGGAAGCGGCGCCAACGTGAATTGTGCGACACTCACGCCTCGCCCCAAGAGGCTCACACCCACCCGCCCTCGCCTCTGGCGAGACGTGGCCCAAGCGGAGGCCAACAGCGCGAGCATTGGTGCACGATGTGCTGTGCTGTTGGAGGCGAGAGAGGCTGGATGAAAGGCGCAGAGAAAGGCTGCCAATTCCGCTCTGGCGGGACGATCGGCGGCGGCGGCGGCGGCGTACTGCCATGCAAGGCTCCTGCCCTTTCTGTGCAGTCCAATCCATGGTTGAAGGACCTTCACAACCTCCTGCTTCATGTGACGCAGCCACCAGCGCGGTTGAGTGCATGGGCGCCGCGACGGTGGTCAGCCGCAGGACTGGCACTGGGCGGCCCCAGGCCATAGCGCCGCAGCGGCAGCACGCCGTCAGCAGGAGAAGAGACAGCAGCGCCTGCGATGGTTCCCGGCTGGCCGAGCTGGGCGTGCCCGCCCGCCTCCCCAAACACCCTCCTGCCACGCCAGTTGGGGCACACACCCACAGCGCAGTCTCACTCGCCGCATGCCCTGCCGGGCCGCTGCTCAGGGTCAGCAGGACGAGGCCCCCTAGGGGCAGCGGCTGCTGGCGTGAGCTGTGGAGGGGTGCTGGCCCGCCTCCCGCAGGGTCGGTGCCAGCGGCAGCACCTCATAAGAACAAAATGTTTGTTACATGTGACGTTAGTATTATTGTTGCCCACCAACCCAGATAGTCCCACCCACCCACTCAGTTGCGGAGATACTCGGGAGATCAAAAGGCACATAAGGAAATCATGCAAGGAGAGACCAATTGCAAAATCAGAACAGAAACAAATGCCGAGCCCGTCTTGGTCCTTGTCAAAGCAGCCACATGAACGAAAGCCGACAGGCTCAGGGGTGGTAGATGGTGACAGTCTTGCCAGCGAGCGGCTCGCATACCCGGCAGCAGACAGGGCACCTGTTGGTTGCCAGGTCCGTGGCAGCACAGCCCGCACACAGCGCCAGGTGGCCACAGGGAAGCAGCGCCACGCTGCGCGGCGCGCTCCAGCACACCACACATTGGCTGTTATACGTGTCTGGATCACTCGACTGCCTGTGCCGTGGCACCTGGCGACTGGTGGTTGCAGCGCCGCTCCCACCAGTGCCGCCTGCTGCTGAGGCAGAGCGCTCGGCAGGCGTCAGCAGCTGCAGCAGCTGGCCGCATTGCGCTGCATCCGGGCGCAGCAGCACCAGCTGCCGGGGCAGGCTGCCATTGCTGTCGACGGCGTTGAGGCAGGCACCCGCCTGCAGCAGGGCCCGAGCCGCCACTGTGGCAGCCGCCGGATTCTCATTCTTCAATGCCCAGTGCAGCGGCTCCAAGCCTTGGTTGTCCTTGGCCCGCACATCTGCTCCTGCAGCCACCAGCGCCTGCACTGCCGCGGCCGCTGCATCTGCATCGCTGTTCTGTGCTGCAAAGTGCAGCGGCTCCCAACCGTCGTTGCTTCTGGCACTCATGTCTGCTCCTGCCGCCAGCAGCGCCTGCACCACCGCTGCCGCTGCATCTGCATCGCTGTTCTGTGCTGTAAAGTGCAGCGGCTCCCAACCATCGTTGCTTCTGGCTCGCACGTCTGCTCCAGCCGCCACCAGCGCCTGCACAGCCGCCGCTGATGCTTCACCGTTGGCGCTGATGACAGCCCAGTGCAGCGGCACAAACCCGTCCTCGTCCTTGGCCCGCACATCTGCTCCTGCAGCCACCAGCGCCTGCACAGCCGCCGCTGCTGCTTCGGCGTTGGCGTTAAGTGCTGCGCATTGCAGCGGCTCAGTACCGTCGTTGTGTCTGGCCCGCACGTCTGCTCCTGCCGCCACCAGCGCCCGCACCGCCGCTGCTGCCGCCTCGGCATTGCTGTTGTGTGCTGCCCAGTGCAGCGGCTCAAAGCCGTCATTGCGTCTGGCCCGCACAGATGCTCCTGCCGCCACCAGCGCCTGCACCGCCGCCGCTGCTGCCTCTGCATTGCTGTTGTCTGCTGCCCAGTGCAGCGGCTCAGCGCAATTGTCCGCCTTGGCCCGCACGTCTGCTCCTGCTGCCACCAGCGCCTGCACAGCCGCTGCTGCCGCCTCAGCATTGCTGTTGTCTGCTGCTGTGTGCAGCGGCTCCAAGCCTTGGTTGTCCTTGGCCCGCACGTCTGCTCCTGCCGCCACCAGCGCCTGCACAGCCGCTGCTGCCGCCTCAGCATTGCTGTTGGCTGCTGCCCAGTGCAGCGGCTCAAAGCCGTCATTGCGTCTGGCCCGCACAGATGCTCCTGCCGCCACCAGCGCCTGCACCGCCGCCGCTGCTGCCTCTGCATTGCTGTTGTCTGCTGCCCAGTGCAGCGGCTCAGCGCAATTGTCCGCCTTGGCCCGCACGTCTGCTCCTGCTGCCACCAGCACCTGCACAGCCGCTGCTGCCGCCTCAGCATTGCTGTTGTCTGCTGCTGTGTGCAGCGGCTCCAAGCCTTGGTTGTCCTTGGCCCGCACGTCTGCTCCTGCCGCCACCAGCGCCTGCACAGCCGCTGCTGCCGCCTCAGCATTGCTGTTGTCTGCTGCTGTGTGCAGCGGCTCCAAGCCTTGGTTGTCCTTGGCCCGCACGTCTGCTCCTGCCGCCACCAGCGCCTGCACCGCCGCTGCTGCCGCCTCAGTATTGCTGTTGGCTGCTGCCCAGTGCAGCGGCTCAGCGCCATTGATTGCCCTGGCCCGCACATCTGCTCCTGCCGCCACCAGCGCCTGCACCGCCGCTGCTGCCGCCCCTGCATTGCTGTTTCTTGCTGCAACGTGCAGCGGCTCCACACCCACATTGCTTCTGGCCCGCACATCTGCTCCTGCCGCCACCAGAGCCTGTACAGCTGCCGTTGCCGCCTCTGCATTGCTGTTGGCTGCTGCCCAGTGCAGCGGCTCAGCGCCGTCGTTGTCCTTGGCGCGCACATCAGCGCCCTCTGCCACCAGAGCCGCAATCAAGGCGTGCACAGCTGCAGGGTCTGGGTTCTTCCAGGCCGCCCAGTGAAGGGCGGTGTTCCCAGAGCCGTCAGCCTGCTTGACGTCTGCTCCCTCGGCCAAGCAGCTGTGCAGCGCTTGCAGGCAGGCATGCCGCCCTGCCGTCTGCACTGCGTCACACAGCGCGGCCTGCAGACGCAAGCCACAAGTTTGTTGCAGAGCGCGGTGGCGGCGGGAAACGGCGTGGCGGGTTGAGCGGCGGCGCGGCAAGACCCACCGTGGGCCTTCTTGGCGAGAGCCAGGCCAGCCATGGCTTCTAGCTTGCCACTCGACGCGCCAGCTGCTGCAAGAGCAGGACCACAAACGTCACGAGGGCCGCGAGCAACATCTTGCGAGGACCTCTGCACCCACGGCCGCTCTTTGGAACGTTTAGGGCAGCGCCTTGCCCGCATCGCCGCCTCCCCACGCCGCGCCCCGCCGACTCTTCAGCAGACAAGCTCACATCCCAGCGGATGCACCCACGTCAGCGCAGCCACCTCTGGGGCAGGGGGCGCGGCGTTGGGCAGCGGCACACGCCACACGTCCATCTGCCGCAGGCGGGTGAGCGGGCGCAGGTGCTGCCAGCAGCCGCCCACCAGACCGCGGTTGCCTGCCAGGCTGAGGCGCGGCGGCGCTGTCAGCGCCGACAGCAGCCGCGGCACGGCTGCCAGCCCACACCTGGCGAGCTCCAAGCCTTCCAGCCGCCGCAGGGCAGGCAGCGACATCTGTGCTGCGGCAGCCCGCCTGGCAGCCGCCAGATGCGGCAGTGGCTGAGGGCAAGCTCCCGCAGCGCCGTCAGCGCCGCCAGCGCCGCCGCCACGTCTGCGCGGCATGGGGCGTGGGCCAGGCTCAAGCTCCGCAGTCGCCGCAGCGCGCGCAGGTGGCAGCAGCGCAGGTCGTCTTCGTGCCGCACAGGGTGGGGCGGCTGGACGTGCAGGGAGGAGAGGGCCGTGAGGGCGGAGAGGGCGTGTGGCAGTTGTGGGTAAGGGAGGGCACCTTGGCAGCTGGCCCCAGCACCCAGCGCCAGCTCCAGGCGCTGCAGGCTGGTCGGCACACCCAGGTTCGCGCCAGCTACCGGTGCAATGATCGCAGCATAGCCGCAGGCGCCGCAGCGCGGTCAGCTGCCACAGGCTGCCCAGGTGGCCCCGGGCCGCCACCGCAGAGGCGCTGCGGGCGAGGGTGTGCTTGCTGGCTGTGCGCATGCTGCCATCGCAGCCAGGCAGCTCCAGGGAGGCGAGGTGCGGCAGACATGGCACATCTTCTTGCTTGAGAGTGCCCTCGGGGTCCTCAGGCATGTACCTCCCGCCCTCCCACTGCCGCCAGCGGCACACAGGGCTGATCTTCTTGCTGGAGAGCGCCCTCGAGGTCCTCAGGCATGCATCTTCTGGCCTCCCACTGCCGCCAGCGGCACACATGGCTCATCTTCTTGCTGGAGAGTGCCCTCGGGGTCCTCAGGCATGCATCTTCTGGCCTCCCACTGGCGCCAGCGGCACACAGGGCTGATCTTCTTGCTGGAGAGTGCCCTCGGGGTCCTCAGGCATGCATCTTCTGGCCTCCCACTGCCGCCAGCGGCACACAGGGCTCATCTTCTTGCTGGAGAGCGTCCTCGGGGTCCTCAGGCATGCATCTTCCGCCCTCCCACTGCCGCCAGCGGCACACAGGGCTCATCTTCTTGCTGGAGAGTGCCCTCGAGGTCCTCAGGCGTGCATCTTCTGGCCTCCCACTGCCGCCAGCGGCACACATCGCTCATCTTCTTGCTGGAGAGCTCCCTCGGGGTCCTCGGGCATGTACCTCCCGCCCTCCCACTGCCGCCAGCGGCACACAGGGCTCATCTTCTTGCTGGAGAGCGCCCTCGGGGTCCTCAGGCATGCATCTTCTGGCCTCCCACTGGCGCCAGCGGCACACATGGCTCATCTTCTTGCTGGAGAGTGCCCTCGGGGTCCTCAGGCATGCATCTTCTGGCCTCCCACTGGCGCCAGCGGCACACATGGCACATCTTCTTGCTGGAGAGCGCCCTCGGGGTCCTCAGGCATGCATCTTCCGCCCTCCCACTGCCTCCAGCGGCACACATGGCACATCTTCTTGCTTGAGAGTGCCCTCGGGGTCCTCAGGGATGCATCTTCTGGCCTCCCACTGCCGCCAGCGGCACACAGGGCTGATCTTCTTGCTGGAGAGCGCCCTCGAGGTCCTCAGGCATGCATCTTCTGGCCTCCCACTGGCGCCAGCGGCACACATCGCTCATCTTCTTGCTGGAGAGTGCCCTCGGGGTCCTCAGGCATGCATCTTCTGGCCTCCCACTGCCGCCAGCGGCACACATGGCTCATCTTCTTGCTGGAGAGTGCCCTCGGGGTCCTCAGGCATGCATCTTCTGGCCTCCCACTGGCGCCAGCGGCACACATGGCTGATCTTCTTGCTGGAGAGCGCCCTCGAGGTCCTCAGGCATGCATCTTCTGGCCTCCCACTGCCGCCAGCGGCACACATGGCTCATCTTCTTGCTGGAGAGTGCCCTCGGGGTCCTCAGGCATGCATCTTCTGGCCTCCCACTGGCGCCAGCGGCACACATGGCTCATCTTCTTGCTGGAGAGCGTCCTCGGGGTCCTCAGGCATGCATCTTCTGGCCTCCCACTGCCGCCAGCGGCACACAGGGCTCATCTTCTTGTTGAGGAGCGCCCTTGGGGTCCTCAGGCATGCATCTTCTGGCCTCCCACTGGCGCCAGCGGCACACATCGCTCATCTTCTTGCTGGAGAGTGCCCTCGGGGTCCTCAGGCATGCATCTTCTGGCCTCCCACTGGCGCCAGCGGCACACATGGCACATCTTCTTGCTGGAGAGCGCCCTCGGGGTCCTCAGGCATGCATCTTCCGCCCTCCCACTGCCTCCAGCGGCACACATGGCACATCTTCTTGCTGGAGAGTGCCCTCGGGGTCCTCAGGCATGCATCTTCTGGCCTCCCACTGCCGCCAGCGGCACACAGGGCTGATCTTCTTGCTGGAGAGCGCCCTCGAGGTCCTCAGGCATGCATCTTCTGGCCTCCCACTGCCGCCAGCGGCACACATCGCTCATCTTCTTGCTGGAGAGTGCCCTCGGGGTCCTCAGGCATGCATCTACTGGCCTCCCACTGC